CGAAGCCATATAAGACCCCCCCTTAAACCCTAAACCCTAAACCCTAATATAGACCCGTGTGCATCTATTGCGAGCCATGCAGAACTTCGCAAAGGCGGTTCTTCGGCTCGGCGTGCCTCGGTTGGCAAGGGATAATATAGGGGCCTTAATAATTAGAATAGGGTTTGGGGGTCCTTTATAGCATAATTGTAATAAGGAGCCCCCAAAATAATGTGGGTAATTATTGAGGCCCCTGTATTAGCCAGAAGATGTGGTTGCGGATGTGCTGCGTGCTTTGGTTCCTCTTCGAGTTGCGGACGGGGTGCTCACTTTGGCTCTGGGATGAGGAGTGTGCTTGGGTTTCGGTGGTCTGTGGTTGTGAATGTGGCAGTACTGGTATTTCTCCCCATGTTGCTGGGGAGTATGTGCTGCGTTCCGAGAGATTTCGGGGGCCAGGGGGCCGCAGGAAACCCGGACCGGTGACCATGCATGGATCAGCGTCGAATCTGAATTATCTGCATGCATATGCCTGTAACTCTTCCTTTCATATAATTACCTACATCGATACATGTTTGTGTCAAACTCTATAGGTGTGTACATACATTGGAGCTCAGCCGCAAGGATCCGAAGAGTAGGACTCCTTGTTTGGGAGTCCTTAGAATAAGGGTCCTGCATTTCAGTGTCTAGGTTGAATCGGTCCCTGATCTTCTTGAAGTTGTTGTCAAGGTTGACATGAAGGGCAGATGTGTGGGTGAATTATTTTGTTATGATGATAACGGTGATGAAGATGATGACGGTGGGGATGATCATTAGTATCATTGTTGTAGTTACTGCAACTATCGCTAGGGCATTGGCATGACACGCATGATGCGCCTTGCAGCACCTCATGTCCGTTCCTCGTTCCAGGCACCGTATCTTGGCGGCCTCATCGCGGCTAAGGCACCAAGGGGCTTAAAAGTCCTTTCAACCTTACACCAACCCTGAACAACAAACCACACTTGCTTACACTGGCAAAGAGCTTTGCGGAAAAGTGTTTCGGGCTCGCTGGGTACTTGCACTTCCCGCTAGGCCTCGAGCCGGATCACGACAGTAGCTAGGCACAGTTGGGTTCAGGGCTTAGGGTTGAGGGTTACGGAATTGAATTTTCAAGCTTCAAATCATGCTACATAGCAAAACAAGTCACCACTGCTGGTCCAACTTGAACAGATACCGACCGGGTGGCCCAAATTACATGGTGACGTCATTTTTGTACACAGTATTTGCGTTTCCAGTGTCTTATGGCTGACGGAAGCTATTTTACTCATCCATGTTCCATGTGTTTGCGGGGAATCACGGCCTGATCACTATGTGCCGTGCTTGATTCTAAGTTCCTGGCATCGTCGCCCCCTAATGTAGAAGACGTTTGTGAGTAGCATGCTGTGTTCCCGACATTTGGGCGATTCCAGACCCCTGCACTGCACTTAACCGTTAGCACGCAAGTGTCGACCCGCAAGCTACTGCGAACTGGAGGTTGCCGCTTTAGTAGGCATCTTTCTGGCAGCCGGCACGTCCCTCGTGTGATCCCCGGCTTTATGTTCTTCTCGGCGTGTTGGGAGATATTCTGACCAGGGGGGGGCGATTACGGCGAGGAACCGCTGGTGATGCCGAAGATGAAGGTTTCGACGGTATGAAAGTGACCAAGGCGAGAAAGATGCTGATGGCTGCGACTACGACTACGGCGACGACGACAATGACAATTGCAACGATGACGAAGATCCAGATGAGGTTCACATTGGAACGTGACTCAGATCGTATGAGTATAGCTGATGGCGATGGCGATGACGATGATGATGATGATGCTGGTTACGATGATGACTGATGGCAATGACAGTCATGATGAAGAAGGTTGTGTCAGCGTCCTTGCTGCTGGCGTTGACAACAGCTTGAAAGTTCTGCTTGGGGTTGTAGAGCTCGGGTATGCTCTGGTAGCTCCCCTCTTTGTTCTGCTTCTACAAGTATGCACCCGTGGTCCTTTTCGTTTGTTTGGGTGACTTCGTAATCAAGCCTGGCATTCGCCCTAGCATCGCCCATCGTACCCTCAACCCCACACTCCTTTCCCCAAGCTCTGGACACTACTTGGAGGATCATGGGACTTAGTAAGTAAGGTTATAAGTACCCTAGTTAAATTGGGGTTATAGTTATAGTTACCTTATTTATAACCCTAGTTACTAAGTCCCATGATCCTCCAAGTACCCTAAACCCTAAACCCTCCTCTTATGATCCTCCAAGTATGTTAAGGCCGATGCCTTGACCATGCTTGCAGCGTTGCTTACCGGACTGGACATCGCCTGAAGCCCCAGAGCAGTCAGAGTTCAGAGCCAGAGCTTGAGGCTTTACCCATAGGCCCCATAGTAGTGCCTTTTGGGGATTACCTTATGGGATTCTAAATCCCCATAGGCCCCATAGTAGTGCCTTGTTGGGGTTCATATCTAGAATCCCATAAGGTAGTCCCAAAAGGGAACTATTATGGGGCATATGGGTATAGGTTCAGCTCTGTGATGGTGCTAGGGAATCAACACGTCTAGGTGCAGGATGCCTCCAAATGCCACTTCTGACAAGACTTGTTCTGTTTTGCAGTGAGTGTGCGACAGCGGGATGTTCGGCGTTGGTTTCGTCCGGCGGAAGAGCTTACAGGGAACCTTCGCAAGACTAACGGCTCCGTGGATTCGCGGAGAGGGAACCAAGCTCCGTCAGACCATGAACCCTGAAGCTCCTGAAGCCCAAGACTTGTTGCACTAAATCTTGATCCTCTTGCTGGCACACTGAGGCCGTGAGAATTGCAGCTTCCAGGAGCAGCAAGTTCGCCTGTTCGAAGCATGGTGCGCTGGGAAAATAAAAAATGTTACACGGATGTTATAGGCATTATTATCAGGATTCGGCTTTCGAAATTGGGCTTTGGTGTCCGAAATGTCAGGGTATCGGACACGAAAATTGCACAACGTCGCGCCATGACTATTCATTTCGAAAATGACCACGACAAACACCACTGTTTGTGATATGACAACACTTGAGAAAAGTTCTTATCAGAATTTACGGTACCCATCATAAGCAAGGTACCCAATCTTGCATTTACCTGCCGCCTTTGTCAGGCTCTGATCTGCTCTTGGTGGTTTTGCTGATGCTCCAGTGTGACTGAGCTGCAACGTCGCGGCATTCCGCTTCGAGATTTCGGGTTGGAGGTCTCAGGAGTTAGGAACCTTTGGGGTTCGAGGATTATGGCATCGGCTCCTGGGTGTTTGAGCTCAGGTCATGAGTGAAGTTTGATCATACAAGTGACATGCGGCAGAATCCGCATGACGACAGGGCATGGGTGAAGAATGTGTCGTTACTCGAGCTCTTCAGAGGCATCGCAGCGCATGACTTGCCAAAGTGCTACGTTCTTGGAGCTGCAGCCCTCAACCGTAACCCCTACTGTAAGCCCCTACAGCCGTGCAGCTGTTGTGAGGCATATCTTGTTCAGCAGCCGATGCCACGGAAGTCAGGCGGTCGATTTCTGCTGACGGGTTTAGGGTTTAGGGTATGTCTCTCCACGTCTAGAGCCGGCCCCAAGCACCGAAACACCAAAGCCCAGCCCTAAACCTTTTTTTCTGACCCTAATGCCTAAGACCCATTACAGCAAAACCCCTTCACTGGGGCCAGGCCGAAGTGTCGAGCGCTGCGATTGGCCGGGCATCTCAGTGGGTGTCCTTCTTGGGTCTTTGACGGTTCTTTATTATGATTATGGTAGAATAAAAAATAGTAATAATAATAGCAATAAAAAATAATATACCCCAAAGCCCTGTTCTAACTATAAGGGCGTGTCGTCCCGTGTCCTGGCCAATTAGCTTCACGAAGATGCAGCCGGAAGCCCGAGAACTGACCAGTTGTCCTGCAGTAGGGGCCTCAATAATTACCAATACTACTTTGGGGACTCCCTATTATCACTATAGTTACCAACACTATTGTGGGGGCTCCTTATTATGACTATAGTATACTGGGCCTCAAAACCCTATTCTCATTATTAAGGCCCCTATATTACAAAGCCTTCCGCGGGCTATTGCAGACATGGCTGGCTATTCACGGGTCCTCTCGGTGGTAGCACTGCCTCCACTTGAGAATGTCTTCAGCGATTGAAGGAGCTATGAAAATGGCTGCGACAAAAGTCAGCACTAACTAAACACTAAATTAAGACTATACCGCACAGCTCTATCACACAGCTCTAGCTTGAAGCTAATATGGGTCATGTTCTTCAGCAAAGGTTCTGCCCTTTGCGGTGCTTGTGAGCGCCGGCGGGACCTGTGGCTGCATTGCGTGGCGACGAGTTAGTACAGCATTGAAGCCCTTTCTCGTGAAGAACGGGTTGCAAGGTTTTGTGGCGGGATCCTTGCTGGAACAGTCAGGTGATAGGAAAAGTTCATGGCCACATGCGGCTTGACAAAACATCAACCCAGCCACTTCGCGAGATAACCACACTGGCGAGGAACATGATGCGAATGACGCGGCAGCCAAAGCCTGAAGGAGAATACCGGGGGAAAGACGGGGCTCGGGTTGAGGTGCAGTCCAAGGCTCTTCATTCTAGGCCCGGAGCCTGCGAAATGCTTCCCGTGGTCCACGAGTCGCGGTTCGTCCGATCAAAGCTTGCTGTTCTGGTTCCACAGGAGCGCAGCAAGATCAAGATCACTTGGAGGTTGGAGGCATGAACATCGAGTGAGGGAGGCGGACATGGCGGACGTAGACGACTTCAGTCAGGTCAGCTCTTAAAGGGGTGTGCGGCTGCGAGCCACTGCCACAAGTGCAGCATCCCGCACCGGCCGAAGCTGGCGCGCAGCGAGAATCGGCGCGAGACCCCAAACGCTGCGGGCTCGATTGACGGAATGCAAAATGCCCGCTGGCTCTGACAATCTTGTAGTATCCTTGAGGCGCACAGCCAGGGTTCGTGAATCTAACTCTAATTGTCTGCGGGTAGTCTTCTACGATCAATTACAGACTCGACATAGCGCCGGATGCCAGCCATGGCGGACCGTTTGTCAGAAAGCGAAGGGAGCTCGGATGGAGAGTCCACGATGTCGGAGGAGCCGGAGGTGGCGAACGTCGATCTAGCAGCATCCTATCGCCCTGAAGGCGTGGTTATGCTGACGGAGGAGCTGGCTCAAGAGGACTCGAGCCCGAAAAAGAAGCGGCACCTTACTCCAAACATTAAGGCGTTGATTGTGACTGCATTTCTCTTCACGACGATCACCGTCGCACAGGTGGCTGCAGCAAGAATCGCCAATTCGCAGGCCTTGTTGATGGACTGTATTTCGATGGGCGTGGACGCTCTGACCTACATGGGCAACATCTGGGTAGAGTGCCGGAAGCGAGACGGCGCACCCCACGAGGGCTCGCAGGTCATTGTTTGTCTGATCTCCTTGAGTTGTTTGATCTATTTCACCGCGGATGCCTCACAGGAGAGCCTCGAGACCATTGGTGGTTGCAAAGGTCTGACAGCTTACGACAAGTCAGGAGATGATGTCAATGGCAAAATTACACTTGCATTCGGTGCGGGGGGAGTCGTGTTTGACGTCCTGTCGCTATGGGCCTTTTGCCGCAGCCGCCGATGCCTTCATGAAATATAGCGTGGTCAAATTGGAAGTTTCGGGTGTTTAAGATGTCAGTTTAGGCAACTAGATGGTGCAATTTGCCCCTCCTGCAACGTCGCTTTTCCTTTAAGGCTCCAAGCTCAGCGTGTCAAGACCCGCCTCGAACCTTCGATCAAATGCATCCAGAATTTCGGGCAATCAACGAGGGCTTTGGGCTTTGGACCGATTCATCCCGCCGGGGAAAGGAGAGCTGCACAAACAGACCCCTATACCCGGAAAAAAAAACCCTAAGAAACAAAAGCTCCGAAATCCAAGGGAAAGAGGGCCACACAGTCAACATGTTCACGGCACTCTTGCATGTTGGGGCCGACTTCCTGCGCTCGGTTTCGACGGTGGTCATGTCCCTCCTGACCTTTGGCCCGCATTAGAAGTTTTCTGCTTTGGAATTCTATTGCGCTGCGATGTATGATTGTACATAATCGAACCTTCCTGCCTGGCTAGTGTTTGTTGCAAAAGCTGCCATATGCACATGTATGTATATATAGATATATTACATATGTTTATATACATCGGTACAGCATGTTGAAGAACGTGTTGGTGGCCACTTGTGGCAGATGGGGTCTTCTGTTACCTAGGGTCTTCTGTTGCACAGGGTCTTCAACTCTCTGTTGC